TCTGTGAAACGGTCGCCACTTTCGAGGGCTGCTGGGGGGCACAGCACAGTGGGTACCCACCGCAGACTCAAATTAGACGCCGTTTTCGTCCTTGTTCTCCTCCTGCAGTCACCTTCCCTCTGCTGCTGCCGTGCGGATGGTTCGGCTTCCCGCACGTTTTTCTCTTGCTCTGCGTTCCCGACTCCCCATGTCCTCTTCGAGCCTGTAGCTGTCGCCCCTCGTTCTTGTATGGTTCTCCTGCGCATCATGCCATAGGCGCGTGTCCCAAGTAGCTTACACATCAAGTTGATTGTCCATGCAAGGTTCGGCCAACTCCTCGTTTCCATTGATACAAATGGGTTGGGTACGTCACATGGTAATTTGTAGTAGCGGTCGCAATAAAAGTGGTATTAGCCGAAGTAGTAGTCGCCGCACTCAACCTAAACTCATCCTGGCGAAGGACCGGAGCCTATGAAGTTGTGGGTACCGCAATTGTGAATATCTGCCTCGGTGAAGCTCCCTATGGGGCCACGAAGCGCTGCGCTGGGTGGGTGGGGGGAACGCATGCGGGCGGTAGCACTGGGGCTTCGGTGGAGCTCCCTATGAGGCCACGAAGCGCTGCACTAGGTGTGTGAAAATACCAAATTAAACGTGTGGGACGCACGCGGGCGGTCCCATTGGGGGGTTCGGTGGACCTCCCTATGGGGCCGCGAAGCGCTGTACTGGGTCGGTGAAACTGCCGAGTTGGGTGTGGGGGACGCATGCGGGCAGTCCCACTGGGGGCTTCGGTGGAGCTCCCTGTGGGGGACGCGTGTGGGCGGTACCACTGGGGGTTTCGGTGGAGCCCCCTATGGGGCCACGAACCGCTGTACTGGGCGGGTTAAAATACCAAATTGGGCGTGGGGGGCGCATGCGGGCGGCCCCACTGGAGGCTTCGGTCGGGCTCCCTATGGGGCCACGAAGCGCTGTACTGGGTCAGTGAAAATGCCAAATTGGGCGTGGGGGACGCATGCGGGCAGTCCCACTGGGGGCTTCGGTGGAGCTCCCTGTGGGCGATGCATGTGGGCGGTACCACTGGGGGCTTCGGTGGAGCCCCCTTATGGGGCCACGAAGTGCTGTACTGGGCGGGTGAAAGTGCCAGACAGATTGAGCAGAATGGACGCACATGGGCGGACCATTGGGGGCTTCAGTGGGGTTCCCTATGGGGCCACGAAGCGCTGTACTGGGTGGGTGACAATGCCAAATTGGGTGTGGGGGGGGCGCATACGGGCGGTCCCACTGGGGGTCTCGGTGGGGCTCCCTGTGGGGCCACGAAGCGCTGCACTGGGTGGGTGGCAATGCCAAGTTGGGTGTGGGGGACGCACGCGGGCGGTCCCACTGGGGGCTGCGGTGGGGCTCCCTATTGGGCCACGAGCCGCTGCACTGGGTGATTGAAAATGCCAAATTGGATGTGGGGGACGCATGTGGGCGGTACCACTGGGGGCTTCGGTTGAGCTCCCTATGGGGCCACGAATTGTTGTACTGGGTGTGGAAATGCCAAAGTGGGCTTGGGGGACGCATGCGGGCGGGACCACTGGGGGCTTCGGTGGGGCTCCCTATGGGGCCACGAAACGCTGTATTGGGTGGGTGAAAATGTCAAATTGGGTGCGGGGGGGGGGGACGCATACGGGCGGTCCACCTGGGGGCTTCGGTGGGGTTCCCTATGGGGCCACGGAGCGCTGCACTGGGTGGGTGACAATGCCAAGTTGGGCGCGTGGGGGGCGCAGGCGGGCGGTCCCACTGGGGGGTTCGGTGGGGATCCCCATTGGGCCAGGAAGCGCTTCACTGTGTGGGTGGAAATGCCAAATTGGATGTGGGGGACGCATGTGGGCGGTACCACTGGGGGCTTCGGAGGAGTTCCCTATGGGGCCACGAAGCGCTGCATTGGGTCTGTGAAAATGCCAAAGTGGGCGTGGGGGGCGCATGCGGGCGGTCCCACTGGGGGCTTCGGTGGAGCTCCCTATGGGGCCACGAAACGCTGAGCTGTGTGGATGAAAATGCCAAGTTGGGTGTGGGGGGCGCATGGAGGCGGTCCAAGTGGGGGCTTCGGTGGAGCTCCCTGTGGGGCCACGAAACGCGGTGCTGGGTGGGTGACAATGCCAAGTTGGGTGTGGGGGGCGCGTGCGGGCGGTCCCACTGGTGGGGGCTTCGGTGGGGCTCCCTATTGGGCCACGAAGCGCTGTACTGGGGGTGTGAAAATGCCAAATTGGATGTGGGGGGGCGCACGCGGACGGTCCCATTGGGGGCTTCAGTCGAGCTCTCTATGGGGTCACGAAGCAATGTACTGGATGGGTGACAATGCCAAATTGGGCGTGGGGGTCGCATGCGGGCAATCCCGCTGGGGGCTTCGGTGTAGCTCCCTATGGGGCCACGGAGCGCTGCACTGGGGGATTGGCAGTGCCAAGTTGGGTGTGGGGGACACATGCGGACGGTCCCACTGGAGGCTTCCGTGGAGTTCCCTATGGGGCCACGAAGCGCTGCACTGGGTGGGTGAAACGCATGGAAGGAGGAGGGAGGAGGAGGAGGAGGAGGAGGAGAGGAGAGGAGGAACGCGGGGCGACGTCTCTTCAAAGCGAGGACCTAACACCACAGGATGGTTGGGACAAATATTAGCACTGATAGATGACACGGCCGCATACGTAAACGGTGAAATAAGTATAAATCGTGACAGCGGCAATCGCCGTAGCAGTCGTGGTGGTGGCGGTGGGTGCAAAAGGAGTAGCTGTAACGGTCAGAATCCGACGCCGTGCCCAGGGTGCGGTAGAACGCTCGTTAGCCATCTGGCTGGGCATCTTCAGAGCTCTAGGGGCGACGCCCCCCCCCCCCCGACGCAATGGGCTAAACAAAATCGCCCTCAAAGACAGGGCATGGCCGCCCTGGAAGAACTTCAAGACGGCGTCGAGACCCAGGCAGACGGACCCAATACCAGCCTACAACGGCACAATGACCCCCTTAATACACCAAGATGCCCCCAAGAGGCCTCGCGAAGCCCCCAGGATGCACCCAAAGACCCCCCCCCTCGAAGCAGATCGGCAAGACGGCCCAAGATGGATCTGGAGCTCCAAGACGGACCCAAGACCCGCCCAGTCGGCCCCAAGACCAGTCAAGCGAGCCGCAATCTGGCGGCCTCTGTAGAAACATCGCCATCAAACTGGCCCCGAAACCCCCAACGGACCCACATCAGGCCCGAAAGAGGCCATCCAGAACGACACGAGAAGGCGCCACGAGGCGCCCGAAAGGCAAAGAAGAGCGCCCCGAGCAAGCCTCCAAGAAGCACCGCAACACCCATACAGCTTCACGGCCTCGACAAGCTACAATATCGTGGCGATGCGCCCATGCGATCCCTAGATGATGACACCGAGGCTAACGGGAGAAACGGGTAAAACAATCATACGTAGATGGATTTCGAGCTTCGCTGGTACCGTGGCGGGATTTGCCGCATACAGCTTGGTAACGGCCGTAGTCGTAGTAGTTATGGTGGTAAGCGGGAACCTGGGGTGATCAGTAGGCTGCAGTCAAGGTAGAGCAGCGGTGCTATAAATAAATCATCAAGATCCGCCACCGTGCCTTGCGCACGTAATGAAATACCCCAAAGCTTGGGCCCTCCAGGGGTCAAACTCTTCCGCTCATGAGCCCGAAACAGTGGAAGCACTTTTGTGTGTGCTCGTTTTCTTTGGCCTCAGAGAGAGCGCTGGGCCAAGTTGGGCGCCCGAGTTATCTGGGATAACTCGGGTCCGGGGTAACTCGGGTTTGGATTCCCGAAAAAGGAACCCGAGTTATCCCTGACCCGAGTTACCCCTGATGATTCGGGGCTCTTGGACGCCCGATTCATCCGGGGTAACTCGGGTCCGGGGTAACTCGGGTTTGGATTCCCGAAAAGCGAACCCGAGTTATCCCTGACCCGAGTTACCCCTGATGATTCGGGGCTCTGACCAAGTGCCTGGTGTCCGAGACCTTTTCCACCCCAAGCGACCCCAGGAGCCCCCGGAGAGCCCCCGGACCCCCCCCCCCCCCGGAGGGCCCACATGGAGGCACAGTGCAGGAGGCCACCCAGCGAGCCCCCAGGGGCCCATCGAAGACCCCGACGAGGCTCTGAAGGTGCGATGGCGGAATGGGCCCCAGGCAACAAGCCCAGAATCAGGATGGGAACGAATAGCACTGCCAGCGGCAACCGCAATCTATATATATATATATATATAGATATAGATATAGGTAGGTTAATACAGTGCATATGGTGACGATGGAGAGAAATAATCACACGGGAAACGATTGAACATATAGCGGTCTGCAGGTGGGGAAAATTGTGGAGAGGACGGCCAACGAATCTCAGTGACGACAACACCAACGAGCAGGCCTGCCACCCTAGACATCCACCACCGCCCAGTGCGCTGCTGCGTGACGGCCCCCCCAGGGCATGCCTTGAACATCACACGTACACCGCTCCTGGCAAGATCCATCCTGGGCCCAGGAAGGCGGCTTCACACTACTGGATTGGCCAGGAAGGCCACCCCCCTTCGAACTGCCAGCCCGTTCCAAACGCCCTCGACCCAGGATCTCCATTCAGTCGTAGTTCCGATCGAACACATCCCAAGCGCCACCGTACAGTGACATCCGCAAGGCCCGAGGGCCCCACAGCCCCGCGGCGCACCGAGAAAGCCGACAGCTCGACGACAGGCCCCCGGCAGCGAATCCGCACACTCCGGGGCGGGCGGGCTATCGGGGCCTGTCGGCGACGCAGGGGCGAGTGGGGGTCGATGCATAGCCCTGAGCCCATCCCATCCAACTCTGCTCACTGGCTTCCGGGCCGCATCTCGGCTCTCCGTTGACCGCTCGGGGCGATCCAGGCGCCCGGGGCGCCCTCGGCGAGGCGCTGCCGCTGGATCGCAGGATGCGGCCAGACGAGCGCCGAGACTCGGCGGGCACGTCCGAAAACCTGGAACCTCGAACCGGAAGCGTTGCCCCCGACAGCAGCAGCGGCCGTCCCTGAACACGTACCCCTTCGTGGAGAAGTCGGGGATGCCGCACGCCCCGTGCCCGCGGGACGGCTCGGCGCGGTCGCCCGCCATGTGCGCACCGCGGAAGCGCTCCGCCCCCGCCTCGCCCGTCGTCATGTTGGTGACCTGGAGGAAGAGAAACCGGCAAGAACACAACGAGTCCCAGACATGCTGGCATCGTAAAAACGTGCGGCGTGGAGCTCTTGGCCATCTTTGGCCTCCCAAGGCCCTCGCAGAGCCCCGGGATCGTGAAACACAACGGCTCGGGATGAAGAACTGGCCCTGGGGACAGGGCCGGGACGTCTGAGGACCCCGCAAGATAAAAAGTCAGGACATCCGACCTCCGGTGTCGGAGCTCGGCGCGGATGTCTTGGACCAGCGCTGGACACCCTCCCTGTCGCGCGGAGCGCGCCACGGCCGCCAGGAGGGTCCAGTCTGGTCCAAGAAATCTGCGCGGGGATCAAAAAGCTCACATCTGTGCAATTGCTCCATCCTCCGCCCCACCTCCTCCCCCTCCTCCTCCTGACTCCTCCCGCTCCTCCTCTTCCTCCTCCTCCCTGGCCCTCCTCCTCCTTCTCTTCGCTCTCTTCCTCCTCCTCCTCCTCCTCCTCCTCCTCCTCCTCCAGCTCCGTCTCTTCCCCGACGACCAGCACCCACTCGCAGAAGAGCAGCCTGCCGAAGAAGGTCTGGCACTTCAGCTCGTCGGGCGTGGCGCCCTGCCCCGCACGGCGCGCGGGCGGCTCCACCAGCGCCTCGACGATGACCCCGGGCGGCGTGGACTCCGTGGCCCAGTCGTCCAGGTGCCGGTCGAGCCACGCGTCCGCCAGGCCGGCCGCCACCTGAATGATATGAAGGGGAACTGGAACACACAAATAAATACACACAAATAAAAATATCCACCATATTTTCCCATATTTTCTGGGTTTTTGTCTTCCCCCCCACTTCCCATATTTTCCCATATTTTCTGGGAATCGCCGATTAATTGTGTCTGTGTGTTTTTTCCCCTCCTGAACCTGAATGATAGGCGACAGCACGCGATCCCTGACCGCCCCTGCAGGTCCGATGTCTCGAACGTCGGCTGGCTGGGGTTCAGGATTCGAGGGGTGTCTGCAGCCGGGCGGACCCCCGGAGGGGTTGTCCGATACCCCCGCGCCGATGGGACCCGCAGAGGTGGGGTTTTTGTCACGGTCGAAGAAAATACGGAAAGAAGCGGGTCTTGGGATGATGAGCTGGCGTTCCTACGCGGTGGCTTGCGCGGGCCGCCAAGGCGGCTCGCCACTCTGGCAAAGAGGGCGCCTGCTCGCGACCTCACGCGGGCAGCTCACGCGCGAATGTCGGTGCAATCGAACGCGCGTTTCCTGTGCCGACCGCCTCGTCCAGGCTCGTGGTCCTCCCGTTCACCAGGTTGACGCCGTCCCGAATGATGCTCGGGGCGGCCCCGGCCGTCTCCGCCAGCCCGGCCCCTCTGCTCCGAAACGTGCCCTCTGCCCTACTCGCCTGCTCCTCTTCTACTCCTCGCCTTCGCCTTGCTCTCGTCTCTTCTAACTATGTTGGCCAAACCTCAAAGCGCGAGTCCTGCTACTCTTTGCAACCCTGCCGGTGACCTTCCCAAACCTTCTACGTCGCGATGTTTTGCAGGTCAGCCCTGCGAACTCTGAACCGCCATGGGAACAGTGAACCATGACTGCGGGCGGGCTGCTTTATGCACGTCCTGGGGACCGAAAGCGGCCCCCTTTCCGCCGAAACAGCAGCACTAATTTGTTATGAAGAAAATCCTGGAGGCCTCGCGCGGCACTGTGAGGCCAATGTTTCGTCGGATCCACGTCGGCGACACGGCAGCCGGAAGGGGCGGTCTGGGGCGCCCCGCCCCCACCCGTGGGACTCGCCCGTGCTCCCCTTTTCACTTCTGTTAGAACCCCCTAGCGAAACCCTTTCAGTGACTACCGAACAGACCAGCCCAACCCGACCTGAAGACCCGAATTTCGGGTTGGGGGGGTACGGGTTCCATGTGTTCTCGCAGTGTTCCCCGACCCCACCCCACTGGAAATGGAAGGCCAATGGAGGCCTTCGGGTTGGGCCGGGGCGGTTTGGTGGGTGGTGATTCGGGGAGCTGGGCTGGGAGAGCGCGGGGAGCTGGACTGACTGGGCCGTCGGAGATCTGGGTGGGGGGGCCTGGACTGGCGAGTGCGGTGGGGCCCCCCCGGGACGTACACGTAGGAGGTCGCGGCCAGGTGCGTGGGCTTCGCGACGAAGCTCGAGGTGCCCAGGGCCTCCAGCACGGGGAGCACCCGCGGAGAGTCGTTGGACACGCGCCCGGGGCTGCCAGCGGGGGGTGGTGCCCAGGACGCCCGAGGCTGCCACATCAGCATCATCATCATCATCATCATCATCATCATCATCAGCAGCAGCAGCATCAGCATCAGCATCAGCATCATCATCATCATCATCATCACCATCATCATCATCAGCATCATCATCAGCGTCATCAGCATCATCAGCATCAGCATCATCAGCATCATCATCATCAGCATCAGCATCAGCACCAGCATCATCGTCATCAACATCGTCATCTGCATCATCATCAGCAGCATGATCATCATCATTATCATGATCATGATCATGGTCATCAGCATCATGAGCATCCGCATCATCAGCATCATCATCAGCATCATACGCATCAGCATCAGCATCAGCATCATCAGCATCAGCATCATCATCAACAACACCATCATCCTCACCAACAGCAGCATCATCGTTATCAGCAGCACCAGCATCAGCATAAGCATCAGCATCATCATCAGTATCAGCATCATCAGCATCAGCAACATCAGCAGCATCAGCATCAGCATCATCAGCATCAGCATCATCAACACCATTTGCAGCATCAGCATCATCAGCATCAGCATCAACATCATCATCAGCATCAGAAGCAGCAGCAGAATCAGCATAAGCATCAAAGCATTAGCATCATCAGCATCATCATCAGCATCAGCATCATACGCATCAGCCTCAGCATCATCAGCATCAGCATCATCGTCATCATCATCAACAGCATCGTCATCATCATCCGCAGCATCATCATCATCCTCAGCAGCATCAGCAGCATCATCATCAGCATCAGCCTCAGCAGCATCATCAACACCATCATCAGCATCATCAGTATCTTCACCACCATTATGAACATCAGCATCATCAGTATCAGCATCATCAGCATCATCATAATCAACATCATCATAATCAACATCATCAACACCATCAGTACTATCATCATCATCATCATCATCAGCATCATCATCATCATCATCATCATCATCATCCCCATCATCACCATCATCAGCATAAGCATCATTATCAGCAGCAGCATGAGCATCAGCATCATCAGCAACATCAGCAACATCAGCATCATCAGCATCATCAGCATCACCAGCATGATCAGCATCAGCATGAGCACCATGAGCATCATGAGCATCCGCATCATCATCATCACCAACAATATCATCATCATCAGCAGCATCAGCATCGGCATCCGCAGCATCATCGTCAGCATCATCATCAGCATCATCAGCATCATCAGCAGCATCATCATGATCAACATCATTATCAGCATCAATAGAATCAGCAGCATCAGCATCAGCATCAGTAACATAAGCATCGGCATCAGCAGCATCAACCCTATCAGTAGCCACATCATCATGAACCAGCAGCATCAGCAGCATCAGCATCAGCATCATCAGCAACAACAGCATCAGCATCATCATCAGCATCAACATCAGAGCATCTACATCATCAGCATCATCAGCATCAGCATCATAAGCATCAGCATAATCAGCATCAGCATCAGCACTAGCATCAGCATCATCAGCGGCATCAGCAAAATCAGCATCACCATCAACAGCATCATCATCAGCATCAGTATCAGCATCATCAGCATCAGCATCAGCATCATCATCAACATCGTCATCATCATTATCACCATCACCAGCATCATCATCAGCATCAGCATCAGCGTCATCAGCATCAGCAGCATCAGCATCATCAGCATCCGAGCATCAGCATCATCAGAATGAGCATCAGTATCATCATCATCAGCATCAGTGTCAGCAGCATCATCAGCATCAGAGCATCTGCATCATCAGCATCATCGACATCGGCATCAGCATCATCATCAGAATGAGCATCAGCATCAGTGTCAGCAGCATCACCAGCATCAGAGCATCTGCATGATCAGCATCATCGGCATCGGCATCCGCATCATCAGCATCAGCATTATCAGCATCAGCACCATCATCATCACCATCAGCATCATCAACATCAGAGCATCAGCATCATCAGCATCAACGTCAGCACCAGCATCAGCATCAACAACACCATCATCATCATCATCCTCATCAGCATCAGCATCAGCATCCTCATCATCATCAACACCATCATCATCAGCATCAGCATGAGCATCAGCACCATCGGCATCAGCATCATCAGCATTATCAGCATCATCGCAATCGTCAACACCAGCAGTGTCATCATCATAATCAGCAGCAACATCAGCAGCCGCCTCATCATCAGCAGCATCAGCAGCAGCATCAGCATCGGCAGCGTCATCACCAGCATCAGCATCATCATCAGCTTCAGCATCATCAGCATCAGCATCATCATCATCAACATCATCATCATCATCATCACCAGCATCATCAGTAGCATCATCATCATCAGCAACATCATCGTCAGCATCAGCATCAGCAACCTCAGCAGCATCATCATCCTCATCATCCACGTCATCATCATCATCAGCACCAGCATCATCAGCATCTCATCATCAGCATCAGCATCATCAGCATCGGCATCAGCAGCAACATCAGCATCAGCATCAGCGTCACCAGCAGCATCAGCATCGTCAGCATCAGCATCAGCATCAGCATCAACATCATCAGCAGCAGCATCAGCATCAGCATCATCATCAGCATCAGCATCCTCATCAGCATCAGAGCATCAGCATCACCAGCATCACCAGCATCAGCATCAGCATCATTATCAGCATCATTATCGTCAGCGTCCGCATCAACAGCATCAACATCATCATCAACACCGTCAGTGTCATCATCACCAGCACCAGCCGCATCAGCATCAGCAGCAGCATCATCAGCATCAGCATCAGCATCAGCATCAGCATCTACAGCACCATCAGCATCTTAATCAGCATCGGCATCAGCATCATAATCAGAGCATCAGCATCATCAGCGTCATCATCAGCATCAGACACATCAACAGCAGCATGAGCATAATCGTCATCATCAACACTATCATCATCATCATCATCAGCAGCATCATCGGCAGCATCATCATCAGAAGCATCACCGTCAGCATCAACATCAGCATCATCAGCAGCATCATCAGCATCATCAGCATCAGCATCAGCAGCAGCATCATCAGCACCAGCATCAACACCAGTCTCATCGGCATCAGCATCAGCATCAGCATCAGCCACAGCATCAGCATCAGCATCATCAGCAGCATCATACGCATCAGCATCAGCATCAGCATCACCAGCAGCATCAGCATCATCATCATCAGCATCAGCATCATTAGCGTCATCAGCATCAGCAGCAGCATCAGCAGCAGCATCATCAACATCATTATCCGCATCCGAGCATCAGCATCATCAGCATCATCAGCATCATCAACATCAGCATCAATACCATCAGCATCAGCATCATCAGCATCAGCATCATCAACACCGTCATCAGCATCAGCATCCTCATCAGCATCATCAGCATCAGCATCAGCATCAGTATAACAATAAGCATCAGCAACATCACCAGCATCAGCATCGTCATCAGCATCAGCGTCAGTATCATCATCAGCATCATCATCAGCATCAGAGCATCCTCATCAGCATCATCATCGGCATCAACATCATACGCATCAGCACCAGCATCATCAGCATCATCATCAGCATCAACAACACCATCAACATCATCATCCGCAGCATCTGCATCATCAGCATCTACATCACCATCATCATCATCATCATCATCAGCATCAGCATCATCAGCATCAGCATCAGCATCATCATCAACATCATGATCAGCATCGTCATCATCATCATCATCATCATCATCTGTATCATCAGCATCAGCATCAGCATCAGCAGCAGCATCAACAGCATTTTCATCAGTTGCTGAATCATATTTACCATCAGCATCATCATCACCATCAGTATCATCAGCATCCGCATCAGCATCAGCATCAGCATCAGCATCATCAGCATCAGCATCATCAGCATCAGCATGCGCATCATCTCCAGCATCAGCATCAGCATCAGCATCAGCATCATCGTCATCAGCATCATCAGCATCAGCATCAGCATCAGCATTATCATCAGCATCAGCAACAGCATCTTCGGCAGCATCATCATCAGCATCAGCATCAGCTTCAGCATAATCACAGCATCAGCAGCATCAGCATTATCATCATCAGCAGCAGCATCGTCAGCATCATCACGAGCATCAGCATCAGCTTCAGCTTCAGCATCATCATCATCATCATCATCATCAGCATCAGCATCAGTACCATCAGCATCAGCATCAGCCGCAGCATCATCAGCATCAGCATCAGCATCATCAACATCAGCATCAGTTTTATCATCATCAGCATCGGCACCGTCGTCATCATCATCATCATCATCATCATCATCATCATCATCATCATCATCATCGACATCATCATCATCATCGTCATCATCATCATCATCATCATCATCATCATCAACACCGTCATCATCATCATCAGCATCATCATCAGTATCATCATCATCAGCATCAGCATCAGCATCAGCATCATCGACGTGATCCTGGCCCATTTTGGAGCCCCTGGCGCCCTCAGGGCCACGTGAAGGGTGCTCTGGGGGCCATCTGGGCCTCCGTGAAGATCCGGGGGGTCAGGGACGACAACGCCTGAGCGAGAGGGGGGGGGGGAGGGGGGCCGTTTCCGGGCCCCAGGCCCCAGGCCATCAACAGCGGATCTGATGGGAAAAACTCGCCCCAGGGCCACGCATAAAACAACACATATCGTTGGATGTCTGGGGAACGTACCCCCTTTTCGGAGTCGGCTTGCTCAGGATCTGCGAGGAGCCTCCCGAGAACAAGATGAAGGCATCACTCCTCAGGAACCCCGAGCCCCTTTCGAAGCGGTAGGGTTTTTTACTCCAGCGTCCCGCCTGCACTCTACGAGGGGAAATGAGGTTAGGGGGCGACTCTTTGGAGGTCGTCGTGAGAACAATTGGATCGTGCCAAGGATCAAAATTGATTAAGCGGGGCAAAGTGGATGAGGCGGAATGAAGCGCGATTATGCTGGATCAGGTAGGCATGGCTTCGACCATGGATATGGGGACGACGAGAAGAGGTGGTCCGATGAAGCCTTCTCGCGTAGCTGGTCCTTCCAGGTCCGCCTGCGCGCCGAGGACTGTGCTTGGTGAGGGCGTGATCCCGAACAACAGCAGAAAACAAACAGGTTCGGGAACTGATTACCCTGCTCTGGGTTTCTTGATAAGTGTGGGGTGCTACCCCCCCGACGGGGGTCAACCTCGCCTCGGCGTCGCGCCGCGACGGGGGTCGGAGCGCCTCTGGCGCGCGGTGGCTACCCGCGACGAGGGTAAATGCGGGGCTGTCGGCGGGAGTGACGCCCCCCCCACGCTGGTTCAGAAACGCGGAGTACCCCCTCTTGAATAACTCCGGAACCGAGTGGACCGACTCCCAGTACCCGGGGCGACCCGGGTTCAGATTCGGATGCTCCCTGGAAGCGTGCAAATGACGAGCTGAGCAAGCCCACGTGGTGCCTGGACCCAAGGTGAGGGGGGTGGGCCGAGTCGGGTCCGTCGACATCACTTGCCTTTTCCGAGCCACCCTTGTTGGCAGCCCTGGGATGTAGAAGATCCTCGGCACGGGCACGCCTTCCTCTTGATGGACAAAATATATTGGGAGGTCCTCCTGACATGCGGGCCAACGGCGTGTGAGATCCAACTCGGAAATGGTGGTATACCGACACTTTAGGTGCTAGACCGCGCGAGCAAGATCGTGGACGAGGGCGCCTAAACAAAACCTGTGCGAAACCGTCTTTTGGCGTGAAATCAGCACTGACCAAGGGTGGTTTCAGAAGCCCAGGAGGGTCCTGCACAGCTCCGACTGGGCCCACGACCACCCCAGCAGCTCTAATACACACCCAGGGCCATACCTACACCCATAGCAGGCTCCCAACAGACCCTGAAGAGTGCCCCAAGTAGTAAGAGCCTCTCAGAGGCGAACATCACCACTTACACCCACCACCATCCTGAACCAGGATCGCTTTCTAGAAGCCTTTCAGACGGCTGCCGCTCTACCCCAGAAGATCTCCAAGCAGTCAGACGAGGTCTGCCGCCAAATGCCTGACGACGGCCCTGAGACAACCCAGTGCCCAAGACCCACGACCACCTCTGTTGGTCCTAAAACGGTGTAATGAAGACCAAGCCATGCAAGACGGCTATGAATTCAATACGTTTTGAGGATGACACCCAGGCCCCAAGGTCCCCAACAGGCTTCCGAGATGGGACCCGAACGCCCCAAGACAGACCCCAGAAATGCCAAACGCACTTACAAACACATACACACAAACACACAAACACGCACACACACACACACACTTTTTGTTTGCATCGGCTGCTAGGCAGAAGGACTGCGCTGGCGGATAGGGCGTCGGTAGGATAAACGAACGCGAATTAGGGCGCGATGCACGAGGGGGCAGGAGGAGGACGCCCAGCGGTGGCGGAAGGGAGACGGAGGCCAGGCCCGCTCAGAGAAGGGCCAGCCGCGCGGCAGGGCGGCGCCGGAAACGCTCTCACACACACACACACAACACACACACACACTTTGGGCGATCGAGGCCTCGCGCGCAGCGGCGAGGCGGAGAAAGTGCGCCCGAGCAAACTAGAAGCGCGCCCGGCTGGCCCCTCAGAGACGGGGCATGGATCCAGAGTGGATCAACCCTGCCGTACGCATACCAGGGCGTCGGCAGCGAGGGTGGGCAGCAGCCAGGGTGGCAGAGTCTAAACGTAGACACAGTGCAGGCAAACAGCCACCACGAGAGAGCCGGGCAGGACAGCGAGGAATACAGGCAGACCAGTGGCGGGGAGACCAGGGAAGCAGTGCCCGACCCAGGTCAAGGCATGACGCAGCGCGGGTGCCGCATGTGTGAGGGGGCCCTGGAACACACAAATAAATACACACAAATAAAAAGATTCCCCATATGTTCCCATATTTTCTGGCTTTTTGTCTTCCCTCACATTTCCCATATGTTCGTATATTTTCTGGGAAATCAGCGATTAATTGTGTCTGTGTGTTTTCTTCCCTCCTGAATGTGGCATGTGGCAGCGGGCAGTGGCGGTGCAAGGACGGGGAAGCCCCACGGGCGAGCGGGTGCCCCCTGAACAGGAGAGAGGCACCGCACCGCCTCCTGCCCAGCGTGGCAGACGCGGGGCGGGCGACCTGCCGAGGAGCACGGGCGGCAGGGAAGGTCGGTCGGCAGGCAGGCCGCGACGGCCAAGGGGTGCGGCGGAGGCGGCCTGGAACGGGGGCGAGTCATCGTCAGTCGTGAGTCGGAGGCGTGGGAGGCAGTGTCCGCGCGGCCGCGCCAGGTGCCCAGCGGCGCCCGCGGGGCCCGCGCGGGGGCCTCGAGGCGGCAGGGCATGGGGGCGCACTGGGAGGGCCCTCGGGCGCCTCGGAGGGGGAGCATAGTCGGTCAAGCGTGGTGTGCTGGTGCCGATGTTGGATGGAGGCCGTCGTAGTCCGTCTATAGCTTGTGGGACAGGAGCATGGAAGGATGCCATGCGAGGGGGTGGGCGTGCATCGCCGGGCGTCGCTGCGGCGAGTGCCCGGCGCATTGTTGCCCAGCCCCAGCACTACCCACCTGTCCTGGCGTCGGGAGCATAGAGGGTCACGCGGCCACCGGAGCAGGAGCGGCGAGAAGTCCCGCAGCTCACTGGTAGGTCCTGGTAGGTTAGGCCGGGTCAGGCGTACCCTGGACAGGGTGCAGGGCCACCGCCGGGGCGCAGGGTTGCGCGCTGGCGTGGTTAGCGGTCTTGCAGGGCGAGGGGCCACGCAATCCGTGGACCCAGGGGCACCATCCCGCCCCCGGCCGGTCGGCCCGCGGGTGGGGCGAGGCGCGGCGGCGCGGGCACCGCTGAAAGATACGTCGCGCTGGAGGCCCTTGCTTCGGCGCAGGTATTCGCCCTCGTTGGGCGCCCGACTTATCCGGGGTAACTCGGGTCCGGGGTAAGTCGGGTTTGGATTCCCGAAAAAGGAACCCGAGTTATCCCTGACCCGAGTTACCCCTGATGATTCGGGGCTCTGACCGCCCGAGTTATCCGGGGTAACTCGGGTCCGGGGTAAGTCGGGTTTGGATTCCCGAAAAACGAACCCGAGTTATCCCTGACCCGAGCTACCCCTGATGATTCGGGGCTCTGGACGCCCGAGTTATCCGGGGTAACTCGGGTCCGGGGTAACTCGGGTTGGATTCCCGGAACCCGAGTTATCCCTGACCCGAGGATGAAAGGGGTAACTCGGGGGTCTGGATTCCCGAAAAACGAACCCCCTTTAACCCGAGTTAAGAGATTACCCCCCTGACCCGCTGATGATTCGGGGCTCTGGACGCCCGAGTTATCCGGGGTAACTCTCGGGTTGGATTCCCGAAAAACGAACCCGAGTTATCCCTGACCCGAGTTACCCCTGATGATTCGGGGCTCTGGACGCCCGAGTTATCCGGGGTAACTCGGGTCCGGGGTAACTCGGGTTTGGATTCCCGAAAAACGAACCCGAGTTATCCCTGACCCGAGCTACCCCTGATGATTCGGGGCTCTGGACGCCCGAGTTATCCGGGGTAACTCGGGTCCGGGGTAACTCGGGTTTGGATTCCCGAAAAAGGAACCCGAGTTATCCCTGACCCGAGCTACCCCTGATGATTCGGGGCTCTGGACGCCCGAGTTATCCGGGGTAACTCGGGTCCGGGGTAACTCGGGTTTGGATTCCCGAAAAACGAACCCGAGTTATCCCTGACCCGAGTTACCCCTGATGATTCGGGGCTCTGGACGCCCGAGTTATCCGGGGTAACTCGGGTCCGGGGTAACTCGGGTCTGGATTCCCGAAAAAGGAACCCGAGTTATCCCTGACCCGAGTTACCCCTGATGATTCGGGGCTCTGGACGCCCGAGTTATCCGGGGTAACTCGGGTCCGGGGTAACTCGGGTTTGGATTCCCGAAAAACGAACCCGAGTTATCCCTGACCCGAGCTACCCCTGATGATTCGGGGCTCTGGACGCCCGAGTTATCCGGGGTAACTCGGGTCCGGGTAACTCGGGTTGGATTCCCGAAAAAACGAACCCGAGTTATCCCTGACCCGAGTTACCCCTGATGATTCGGGGCTCTGGACGCCCGAGTTATCCGGGGTAACTCGGGTCCGGGGTAACTCGGGTTTGGATTCCCGAAAAAACGAACCCGAGTTATCCCTGACCCGAGCTACCCCTGATGATTCGGGGCTCTGACCTGGTGTCAGGGGCCGTAGGCGGGGGCGCTGGGCTCCCAGCTGCCGCAAGGGGGCGTGGGCGAGGCAGGGTGGGCCCCCCGAGAGGCCCCGTGGGGCGCCGCGCTCCTGCGGGCCCCGGTCCTCCGTCTGCGCCGCGCGCGCGGCAGTCGGCAACCACGCAGTGGAAGGATTGCAAAAAAAAACCTCGGATTGCAAAAACGAAGGATTGCAAAAACGAAGGGTTTTTTTGCAATCCTTCGACGAAGGATTGCAATCCTTCAGGTTTTTTTGCAATCCTTCGGTTTTTTTGCAATCCTTCGAACGCTGGCGAGGAAGCCGTTGAGATCTCCTGCCGTGCGAGGACTGCGATCACCTACAGCAGGGGCCCGACCACAAGAAGCCTGCCACAGGAAGCCCGACCCCAAGACCCGACCCCAGGCCGCCCAGCGGTTTCGGCGCGGGAGCGTCGCGATTTCCGTGGCAGAACCATCGAGACCCAAGAAACCCGGGGCACCCTGGAGGCAAGCAGGGTGTTTCTTTGCATAGGGCCCCCTACTGTAAGTTACAAGCGCACACGTTCGGTCGCACGCGGCTGGGGCGAACGCCGCTCGAGCTCTCCGCGAGTCAAGGCTGGGCGACCTGAGGCTACCAAGGATCGACCCCGCACGGCCGGCAAATGCAGGGGGGGAGCGCCGGCCCTTCAAGGGGCAAAGGCGGCGGGCGGCGGGCATCAAGAGATGGTAAGTCCGAACGAGGTAGATCCATACCGAGACCGAACACTCCGTGCGGACTTACTCCGTACGGGCTCAGCATCCGACCGGGGTACCAGGAGAGGCGAAGTGCAGGCGGAGTCAGTCCGTGCAGGGACCGAGTACTCCGTATGGACTCACTCCTCGTGCGCTCGGTTCGCATCCTCCGAGAGCAGAGGGAGGCAGCGCCAGACGGGCGCTGGCGGGCCCAGCCCCTCGAGAGGTGGCGGGCAGCAACAACGAGCCCGGCGGCGCCGGCAGCCGGGAGGAAGAAGTCGAAAGCGATTGCGTACGGCGACTTCGGCGTTGGTTTCAGACACCGGATGGCAGGCGGGAGGCGTGCGATACTCTCTGGGCGCCCTCAAGACAAACCCCGGGTGGGCTCAGGCGACCTCCGCGTGCTCCCAGAGGCTCCCCAGAGGACCTCAAGATGTGCTGCCAAGACGCCCGAAAACTGCCCCCAGTGCCGTCCAAGACGGCTCCAGAGGCGCCCAAAGAGGCGCACAGACAAACCCATGAGCCAAGATAGCCAGGCCCGCGAGCGTTCTGGTCGCCGAAGGGCCCCAAGACGGCTCCTAGATGACCCCTGCAAGGGATTTGAAACGACCCACGGCGAAGATCCCGAGATCAATCACCATCGAATCGGAAAATCAGACCAAATCGAACGGCACATCAAAACGGACCGCATCGGCAAGGAGTCGGAATCTACGAATCGAATCGGCGTTAATAGGATGCA